CTTACATAAAACCCAGCCTCTGATGAATGGAAGGCTTCCCCTCCCATCCTTGAGCGTAATTACTTCTTTCTTTCCCCTTGTTTGATGTATACACAGTAGCAGCCGGTAATATTGAGCATTCCTTTGACCACCTCGTGAGATGACCTGACCCCTGTTGGTCGATAAGCCAGACTCATACAACTTTCATAGCATTTCATGGAGCAGTTGTTCGGCGTCGAATCTGTCTTGCTGTCTGTCTTCGAAGTCTGCGGGATTTGTTTACAAGCGTCAAGGGTAGAGAAACACAGAGTGAGACTAGGGTGTGAGTTGGAAAGAAAGAGACTAAATTACCAAAAGAGGCAGGAAAGGACGGGGGAAAAAAAGGAGAAGGAAAGGAGTTAATGTACCGAGCCCCCTGCTAAAGGTTCCCTGGTGAATGTGCCTGGCTGATGACAGATCGACACCTCAACCCCGCGCTCTATCACTTTCCTGTACATCTCGACACACCAGGGAGCGCACATATACACCCATCTCGCGCTGTACAGAAAGTGGCCTCAGTCTGGAAGTAGCTTTTAGCATGAACGCAGCGCCAACGACTTCCCGACGGCCCCGTAGATTTCCCTTTTATTCCGTCTCCTTTTGTGTTATTTTAGCGCCGCGATAATTCCAAGTGACACGCTCTCCCCGTCGAGATTCGGCTAAAGCAGCGCACGCAGGAGTCTTATTTGCTCGGCACATGCTACGTGCTTCTTCATTTGTAAGCGAGAAAGGGGGGCTGAATTATTGATAAAGTGTCATAAGTGACCACGTCGCATTAAAAATGGATTTGCTCTCCTGAAATAAGTAAATTGTCTGTGAATAATTTAGGTGACTCACAGCTTGGGTCTGAGATGTTTATGCTAATGTTAACATTTCAAACAACTGTCTTGTACACATGTCCCTGCAGAAATAAAACAAAGTCAACATCTGGCTCCTTCTTCTTCTTCGTCTTTTTTAAATGAGGTACATTTGTAAATTACTTCAGTGATAGTCTCTTGTCATCGCTCCCTCTTTAGCGTTTTCATTGTTTACCCTTCTAGCGCGCCGAAGACTCGCAGGTCTCTCAAAGACTGTTGTCACTCTTTTATTTCAGTTCCTCTCTCAACGTGTCACTTATTTATTTATTTATTTATTTCCCCACACTCCTCTTCAGATCTAGGTGTCAGAAGATGAGTGCGGGGACTTTGGGAGGCTTTAAAAATTGTTTGTGTGTCCCTCAGATGGATTGCGCGTCTTCTCAAAGAGCGCTCTTTAGTCGAATTACATTTGTTCCAATTCAAAACTTTTTTTGTATTTCTCTGAAGGACGGTGTCCCCGAGTGTCCTTGTGCTTCTCTTTTTCTTATTATTCCTAAACTCTGCCCTCCTTCCTCTGTTGCATTTTGCAGGACCTTGCAGACGGTGGGGCCGTCGCACGCGCGCATTTACACCGTCGCCGTGTATTTCAAAGGAGAGCGAATCGGCTGTGGCAAAGGCCCAAGGTGAGTAAGATGGTACAATATAATAAGACACAAACAAGACAAGGCGTTCTCCTTCTCAATGCACCGCTAATGGGCTCCAGAATAATGGCTGCGCTTTATTGATGGCGTTTATTATAGCAATTAAGCTCTGGCTGGCCTATTTTATTGCGAGAGACATTATGCATCATGAAAATGAATCGATCCGTTATCGATCCGATGTAAATTCTGTTATGGAAATATCACTTTCTGCCGAGCAGAGCTTGACGAGGCGGCGCTGCTGCCGGGGCTGTGTTTAGGTCTACCTGAGCTATTGTGTTCACACATTATATCTATTTATTTTTATTATAACCCCCCCTTCAGTGTTGAGTTGCACACCTTTTGTGTGTGTTCGCATATTCATGCTTTTGTAAAGTAAAGAAAGTGAATCTCTACGCCGAGGCCTTTTCGGGGTTGGAGGGGTTGACGATAAAGCTGCAGCTGAGCCTGCGAGAAATGAAACCTAAATCCATCAAACATCTTTCGCCCCCCCCACACACACACACACATGTGAAAATCCCCTCCACGACCCCCTACTTGAAACCGCTCTCTCTTGCACTAAGCTGGCGATAAGTTTGTCCCTTCCACAGAATCTTTGGCAGCTTACTGTTTTTGTATTTACATGACTTAAGCTCCCAGCCACCTCCACTGCTGGGCTATGATCACACACCACATAATATATACGGAGGGGACGGTGAATTGCAGGAGTAAACAGTGCCCAGCGTAGAGCCGCCGATAGGCTTACCTTTTGGAAATGCGTGCACCGTGTTACCTGAGATTGTTAGCGAAGAAGGGCTCCTTGGAAAACAAATATAATGCACTTTTGATAATCCTCTCAATATTGGTTGTGGGGTATTTTTCTCTTCTTCTTCTTTTTTGACAGGAATTCAAAAAAAGGGACATTTTAAATATGCTAAAGACCTTTTTCTCTCTCTTTCTCTGTCTCCTTTTCTTTAAAAAAAAATTTCTAATCTAGCATCCAACAGGCAGAAATGGGAGCTGCGATGGATGCGCTGGAGAAATGTGAGTTGTTCGGCAACAAAGACCTCTCCTCGCCACACACACATAAACGTTTTCACACTTTAAGCCCTTCACATGCTTTGCCTCAGTGTTGAATATTAGCTTTGGCTGTACAGTATGCAAGATGGCTGGCAGAGAGCTGTGGCCTGACCAGCCGGTTGGCTGCAACATATAGGACATTAGGTTGTTTGAAGTGCTAGCCCAGAGCACAGGCATGGGGCCTAGCCAGAGATGGAGAAGCAATAAAACAAAGACGGGGGAAGCTAAGCATCCTCGACCACGTCGATCATCCCCGGGGGACGGCGGCAAGTTTGTTTCGAGAGCCACGCAAAGTTTGCATTTTTTTAAAAAATGTTGTTTTCAAGCGCTTTTTAGAGACCACGAGAGCGAGGCTGCACGCTCTCTTATGCTCAGCGCTCCTCTTCAGATTTGAAGGAGTGCAGCTGACGCGTCCCCCTACGTGCTGCTTCACTCCTTGGCTGTTTTCCATCTTGTCATTGTCTTTTCATCAAACGCCACTTAAGGAAAACAGGTAACGTCTCATTCGCCACTAAGTAAAAAATACAATTACACGGCTCTCAGAAACACATCCACGAGCCTCTTCCAACACCTCCAATTTGCTTCCTATACTCTGCATAAGTACGTGGGCATAATAACCTCCATTAAACTGAGAGTGGAAAGAGTTTGGTTGTAATGTTTGGACCAGGTTCAGTTGCTAACTGTGTGACCACATTAATCAAATGTACAATTTGTTCTTTACTCAACTAATTAGCTGGAGGTGAACACAAATGGCTTTGTTGGAACAGGCCTGTGGAACTCGCAGAGGGCAGAAAGGTCAAACTTTGATTTCATTTGGCTTCTAAATGAGGCCTCCAGCCACTTGTGATTGATACTGTTTGCGCACCCATGCTTTAGCTTTTTATGAAACATTAGCATTAGCGTGTTATTATTTAAAGCCGCTCTCTCAGCCTCCCTCTCTCCCTCTGTTTTTGGCTCCCTTTTTCCCTCGCCTCCCTCCCTCCTTATCAGGGGGCGTAGTTCAGAGCACACAGTCTCTCTCCTGTGTCATCCTCCCACCCTTAATTCCACCCGTTTCCTCTCCCCAGTGTACACCTCTGTCACCATGATTGATAGATGCTCATTCCTAGTAAATGAACATTTCCCCCCTCATAAATTGCTGTTTCATGTGACTAGATTAGCAATGCCTTTTAAAAGGTCAGGTAATTTAAAATCATCTCTTCAAGTCTTCCTTCCTTTGACGCAAAAAAAGCTTCCAGTTCTAGAGCTTTGTTTGACTTTGCACCGTCACTTCATTTAAACCCACTAATTTACAAGTCAGCCGTCAGCTTGATGTACTCTCTGCTCACACCGACCTGTCTGTTATGATACTCTGAGCAGTTTT